CCCAGGCTGGTCTCAAACTTCTGGGCTCAACTGATCCTCCCACCTCAGCCTCCCAAAAAGTTGAGATTATAAGCATCAGCCACTGCACCCAGCCGCACCCCAGGACTGACAACCAAAACTGTCTCTGGACGTTGCCAGTCATCCCCTGGAGAGCAGAGTCACAGGTTGAGAGCCACTGAGCTCTTATTATTATTAAATGAGTTTTAGCAGCACAACCCAAAGCCGCAATCCAAAGCAGCACCTACAATCACCTCCCAGCTGAACACCCAAAACGTGCTGGAACTAGGATGTGAACACAGGTCCCATCTCCTGGCAAAGCCTGAGCCATGCCAATGCTTATCACACCTGACTGTGCTAGAGAATTCCAGGGAATCTTAGAAGTGCAGATCCTGCCTTCTTTGTCCAGTGTGTCATTGACGGGCATTTGGGTTGGTTCCAGGTCTTTGCTATTGTAAACAGCGCCGCACCAAACATACGTGTGCAAGTGTCTTTATAAAGAAAATGTGGCACATATACACCATGGAATACGGTGCAGCCATAAACAACGACAAGTTGGTTTCCTTTGTACAGACATGGATGAATCTAGGAACCATCCTTCCCAGCAAACTGACACAAGAACAGAAAACCAAACACCGCCTGTTTTCACCCATAGGTGGGTGATGAACAGTGAGAACACTTGGGCACAGGGAAGGGAACAACACTCACTGGGGTAGGTGCGGGTTGGGGGGAGGGACAGTGGGGGGCAGGGATGATGGGGAGGGATAAGGCCGGGAGAAATGCCTGATGTATGCGACGGGGAGGGGATGGAGACAGCAAACCACCATGGCGTGTATGTACCTATGCAACAATCTTGCAGGATGCAGGATGTGCACATGTACTCCAGAGCCCAAATACAATAAAAAACAAAAGTGCGGATCCTGACCCGTCGGGTCAGGGTGGACCAGAAACGCCACCTTGGTACCAAGTATTCGACCGCTGCACTCCAAGGCCCCTGCCTGGAGCAGCGTGAGTCTGAGGCACTATGCCTTACGATCCAGGGTGGGGGATACAAAGGGCAGACACAGCAGGCATTTATCCCCTCTTTCCTCTTTCTTCACGTGCTTGACAGTTTTCATAGTAAAAATGTGGGGTGCAGGTGGTGGGGAAAGAGCACATACCTGAAACCTTCTGTATGAAAATTCAAATGGTTGGACCACAGCCCGCAGGCTGGTCATCTGTGTTTGTAAGGAACGTTTTACTGGAGCCAGGGCTGGGTGCAGGGAGAGCAAGTGAGGCCGGGCAGCGCGAGGGCAGGGTTGCAGCCTGGCTTTATTTGAACATTTTGATATTTTGTATATCCTGGATTTTTTGCATCAATTTTGCATGAAAATGGTATTTATCTTAATGACTCAGCTTTCTTTGTCGGAGAGAAGGGCCTCACTCACCTTACCTCACCCCTGCCCTGCTTGAAGGGCTCTAGAAAGGGTCTAGAAAGGACTCCAGGAAGAAACCCAGGCTCTGAATGACCACTGCACTGGCCAGAGCCCCACTGCTGCCCCTTGCTTGCTGCATGGCTTTGGGCGGCAGCCTAAGCTCTGGGGACCTCAGTTTTCCCCATGAAATGGGGCCAGTCACCCACATCACCACCTGGCAGGTATATTGTGAGGATTAAATAATATACACAGAAGCGTCTTGGGGGGTCTTAAAAATACTTGTTATTGGTTGGGCACTGTGGCTTATGCCTGTAATACCTGTACTTTGGGAGGCTCAGGCAGGTAGATCACAAGGTCAGGAGTTCAAGACCAGCCTGGCTAACATGGTGAAACCTCGTCTTTACTAAAAATACAAAAATTAGCCAGGCATGGTGGCACATGCCTGTAGTCCCAGCTCCTTGGGAAGCTGAGTCAAGAGAATCGCTTGAACCCGGGAGGTGGAGGTTGCAGTGAGCTGAGACTGGGTCACTGCACTCCAGCCTGAGACTCCATCTCAAAAAAAGGGGGCCGGGCGCAGTGGCTCACGCCTGTAATCCCAGCACGTTGGGAGGCCGAGGCGGGTGGATCACGAGGTCAAGAGATCGAGACCATCCTGGCCAACATGGTGAAACCCCGTCTCTACTTAAAAAAAAAAAAATTAGCTGGGCATGGTGGCGCGCGCCTGTAATCCCAGCTACTCGGGAGGCTGAGGCAGGAGAAACGCTTGAACCCGGGAGGCGGAGGTTGCAGTGAGCCGAGATCACACCACTGCACTCCAGCCTGGTGCCTGGCGACACAGCAAGACTTTGTCTCAAAAAAAAAAAATACTCGTTATTGTCAGGAGGGAAGCAAAGGCGAGTTCAAATCAATGCCATGGAAGCTGCGAAGATGCAGGAAAACCTGCCGGGCGCTGGGCTAGGTCACTGAAGGTAAGTCCTGAACTGGGTTTGAGGAGTAAGAGGATCGGATGGGCTGGGAAATCCAGGAAGGTGTTCAGGCAGAGTTCTTCAGAGCGAAAGGCTTGGGGAAAGGGGTTACTGAGGCAGGCAGGACCCAGGTGACGGCGCTCAGTGAACACCTAGAAAGCCCCCAGCCCTGGCCAGCATGGAGATCCCACGCGTTAGCCAATGAGCAGCTGCTGTCCATTATTCTCACCTGGCCAGGTGGGCCAGGGAAGTCCTTGTCTGGCCTGGGTAGCAGCAGGGGACAAGTCACTCATACCAGCAGCACCCTTCCCACATCCATACCCCAAGCAAGCAAAGAAGGACTGCTGGAACACAATCCTTATGGCAACCCTGCGCCATTTAGGAGATGGGAACGTGGGCTTTGGAGGATCTGGGCCGAGAGGGAAGGAGATCCAGACCGTGGGGGCCTGGGCACAAGGAACCCAATGAAAAGACACAGCAGAGGACTTGGCCGTGGGCGCTGGAGAGATAAGGAGCCGGTGTGGCCAGCCCGGGACACTTCAGCCTCTGCTGCCTACTCTTCAGAACCCAAAGGACCCGCACAGGGGCTGGTGGGCAGCAGGAAGGAATCAGGCTCTGCCAAGTTGCTCTCTGGATTGGAAAGCACCAGATTCTTCCAGGAGAGTTAGTGCCTGGTCGGGGCGATTTCACTCCAAACTATGCCAATGGTAGTCCTAGGAGGTGTCCCCTGTAGTACGGCAAGTGAGCCACAGCTGGTGTGCGAGGCCGCCTTTCCTTCGTGTCCAGAGTGATGGATTGCACAGTTTCAGCAGAAGCTGGGGACAGCACCGACACACAGTGCTCCATCGAATGTCAGCATCGTCTCGCTTGCACTTCCCAACAGCCCTGTGCTGCCGGTACCATCATTATCCCCTTCTGCAGATGAACAGAGTGAGGCTTGGGGAGGTAGCATGGCTTGGGCAGGCGGCGTGGCTTGGGGAAGCGGCGTGGCTTACTCGCTCAAGGTCAGTGGCTGGCTCAAGGTCAGTGCCCAGCACTCAGTGGAGCGAGCTTCGTGGCAGCTGGGTCGCCTTCAGAATACGTTCTTAACCCTGGTCTCTTCCCCACTAGCATCTCCCCTGAGGACTCACTTTTAGCCAAATTCCCCCCAAAAGATGCAAAACATTCTTTTGTACCCTCTGGTTTCTTCTGCCTGTGTGAACTGTAGGCTGTGCCTAGTAAGTCGCCAGGACTTAGTTCCCAGGACACACACCAAAGTGCCTGCCAGCCTCCCCCACTTCAGCCTGATGGCTTTCTTTTTTTCTTTCCTTCTTGCTTTCTTGCTTTCTTTCCCTGCCTCCCTCCCGCCCTCCCTTCTTTCTTCTTTCTTTCTTTCTTTCTTTATTTATTTCTTTGAGTCTTGCACTGTCTCCCAGGCTGGAGTGCAGTGGCACAATCTCTACTCACTGCAACTTCCGCCTCCCATGTTCAAATGATTCTCTTGCTTCAGCCTCCCAAGTAGCTGGGATTACAGGCACTTGCCACCATGCCTGGCTAATTTTTTGTGTTTTTACTAGAGATGGGGTTTCACTATGTTGGCCAGGTTGGTCTTGAACTCCTGACCTCGTGATCTGCCCACTTTGGCCTCCCAGAAGCTGGGATTACAGGCATGAGCCACCATGCCCAGCTGAGCCTGATGATTTTCTAAACGCCCAGTGGGGGACGTACAACCTCCAGGAAATCAAGCAGCTGTGTGGTTCCATATTTGTGACGAGGTCTGATTTCAGCAAGGAAATTGGTCAAGACAGCTTGCAGGATGTCAGAAAAGTTTCCTCAAAGATCATGTAGCAAGGGAGGTAGCGACAGAGGTGCTACACCCACCGAGGACAGGCCTGAAGGAAGGCAGCCTGCAGAGCCGGAGGACCCTGAGTGCAGAAAGATGTTAACACCGTGGTGTCGATGGTCACAGGGAGTTTGCACACAGCCCAGCAGTGCTACACCCAGCTGACACGGGATGTGCCTTTCAGTTGAAGGACAGGTGGAATAGCAATCATAATCATAATAGCAATTTATGGTGGCTGTATTCGCCTCCTATGTCTACTGTAACACATCACCACAAAAAGGGTTGCTTGAAACTTATTCTCTTCTAGTTCTGGAGCTCAGGAGTCCACAGTGCAGTGTGGATGGAGTCACGCTCCCTCCAGAGGCACTAGGGGATGATCCTTCCTGGGCTCTGCCAGCTTCTGGGGACTCCAGGTGTCCCTGGCTTGTGACCCCAGTGCTCCAATCTCTGCCTGCGACTTCACGTGGGCTTCTCCTGTGCCTACCCTCTCCTCTCTGCTAGGGACACCTATTATTGGACTTGGGACCCACATTAATCCAGGGGGACTTCATCTTGAGATCCTAAACCACATTTGCAAAGACACTTTTCCCAAATAAGGCCACGTTCATAGGTTCCAAGGGACCATCCCATAACCAATCCCCATCACCCTCCCTCAGGCTTAACCACAGGGGACTCTTGGGTGTGGGGACTGCCCCGACTCTGAGACTGAGCAAGACGAATTGCAGGCTAATGTGGTATTAACATCTTAACACACATGATGGTGAGACACATGCGCACATCCCATAAGAAATATGTAGGATCATTGACATTTCCAGAATTTCCTAAAAGTAAAAACAAGGCTACGTGGGCATCATGTACCCTCTACTGATACCATGTGACAGAAACCCATCATCCAGGTCTAACCATGATGGAAACACAGACCTACTCGGATTGGAGGGCATTTCCCAATGCATCTGAGCTGTGCTCCCCAAAACAGTCAAGTTCATCAAAAGCAAGGAATGGTAAGAAACTGTCACAGACCAGAGCAGCCTAAGGAGACGAGAAGACTGAGTGGGACGTGGTGTCCTGGACGGGCTCCTGTAACAGGAAGAGGACATTCGGGAAACGCTGGCCAGCTCCAGCTAAGTCCGGAATTGAGTGAGTCGTAATGTAGCAATGTTGGCTTCTTAGCCCGGACAAATGTGCCCTGGTCATCGAGTGGGAGGACAACATTATGGGAAATTCAAGCTGAGTGAGGCACAGACGAGGATTCTCTTTACTGCCTTCCCACTCTTCTTCAAAGTTCAAGGCCAACCCCGAAGTGCTCAAGGAGCCCCAGGGCACTCAGAGATAGCTAAGGGTAGAAAGCAAAAAGTGGAAACTTTCTTTCTGGCTTCTTCCCCGAATCCCACTTCTCTGTAACTAAAATGTGGTGTGTGTTTTTTCCTCACCTTTGGGGAGTTCTTTGAAAGGTTCTTCCAGTGTTGGAAGATGTGTCCTTTGGAAGGAGTCCCAAATTGAGGGATCTCTGCAAAGATCCCAGCTTGGCTGTATTTTAAGAAACAGAGAAACCGCAGGGTCTGAGCTTCCGCAGGAGCAGGCCCTGTGCCCCTCACACCACCCCATCAGTCAAGCACCATCAGCAGCCCCACTTTCAAGAGAAGGACGCCAGGGCCAGAGTCACAGCCAGAGCAGAGCTAGGATTTGGGCCAGGACTCACCCCTCCACGGGGTAAAAACCCTTCCTCTCTCTCCCTCCCGTGCCTCCCTCTCTTCTATCCCAAAAGTCAAGTGCAGTCAGTCGTCACTTACCATCTTTGACAGGTTCTTGGAAACTTGAACTTTAAGTGAAAGATTGGACTCAAGGCCATTTGGGTCTCAGGCCTCAGCCAGGCACTTAATTGGTGTCCTCCTCTTTCCGGCCCAGGAAGTGGCTTTAAAAAGCTCCCTCAGAACCCAGCCCTGGGAACCCTGGCACGGTCAGTCCCTCCATCTGCAGGGAGGCCAGGAGGGGATGGATGCCAAGGCCCAGGCCAGCTCCTGGCACTAACCACATGTGGTCCCCACCGAGGGGCCCCGAGGATGGCCACACTCCTGCCCCAGGCACTCTGGGGGCTTACGCTGTCTGGGGAGGGAGGAGGATGTGGACACAGCACACCCTGTCCTCTCCCTGCCTCCTCAGGAGGAACCGCTGCCCTTTGTGGACTAGGAGGTTCTGGGCTCTGCAGCCTGGTTCAGGACCGACTCGGAACCAGAAGGAATGAACTGCTCCCAGAAGCCACGACAAGGGGCATCAGTCAGGAGAAAACAGCCATTCCCAAATTGTTGGTAAGAAGCCTGTGGTGCGGGCAGCTCAGGGCCAGGGGCAGCTGAGGGCCAGGGGCAGCTCAGGGGCAGGACCAGCTGCGTAATTTGCAGGGCCGAGTGCAAAACGAAAATGAAAGGCCCTTGTTCAAGGGTATTAACAATTTGGAGGCAGAGACCAGTAGGTCATTAAACCAATCCTGAGGTCCTCTGGAGTGTGGGGTCCTTCCGGAGTGCAGGTGACTAAATCACCACCCAAGTCACATGCCCACAAAGCCAGCCTCCTCAGGGGTTGCTTGGCTTTCAGACAGTGCGACCCAGAGACGGCTTTCAACAGACGCCTTCACCCCAGAAGCCTGGCTCCTCTGGCCTCTCCCGGGGTTCCCCTTTGGTCAAAGTGCAAATCAATCAAGAAGTCAGAATGACCCACCCCATTATCAAGAAGGGCAGTGGGAGGAGCTCTGGGAAAAGTCAAGCTGTCACCAGGCAGTTACAGGAGATAAAGCAGTCAGTGGCCTGCGGCCCGCACAGTGTCAGCTGCTCCCCAGGGCACTCCCCTGCATCCCATAGCCCCAGAAGAGAACCAGCTCCCAGCCAGGCCATGTCCACTCTGCTCTGGGAAGCAGCTGGGCACTTTGTGCCATCTACATGCCCATTAACCATGCTGCAGGATGGAACCCAGCAGTGGAAGGACCCTGCGGTTCAGGGGACATTCCCAGGACAGCCCTGGGACACCTCTGGCCCATGGAGGCCAGGAGGACAGGCCCCAGGCCTGCAGACTCAGGGATGTGCCTTGGGGAAGGCTCCTGCCCAATTACACCTGCGGACCCATGTGATGCCTTCACATGGGGCACACGGGAGAGGGAGGTGGCAGGTCTCCCCAGCACAAAGCAAAGGGACCCTGGTGACAGAAGGGAGGCAGCCAAGGCTGGTGGTGGGAGGCGGGTGGCAGGAGGGAGCCTAGGGAGGGGGTTCACTCCTCACCTCACACCAAGCCGGCCCCCAACACAGGGCATCTGGATTGCAGAGCAATTACAGAGCGGCCGCACCCCGCATCAAGTACACCCACGCCATGCAGAAGCTCTCCTAACAGTCACGGTGCCCACCTGAGGCTGCTTCACGGGTGAACAGCTGCTGACCCGCAGCAACGACAGTGTCTGAACCCAGGTTCACGTCCCTCTCAGGTTCATCCGTCTGACGTGGTGGCTCTGGGCTCCTCCCGGCCAGGCCAGCAGGGTTGCGAGTGTCTCCCTCACCTCAGAGCCAGGACGTCAGGGGCCCAGGAGAAGTGCCCGCGGTAAAACGGACACCCCAGGGAGGGCAGGAGGCATTACCTGACTCCGTTTCTAAGTCAAATGAAACTTGATTTCACACAGGGAAGTGCCGGGCAGCCCCACAGGCCGGGAGTGCTGAGTGCCGCCTTGCTGTAACATTCTGCTGCCTCGAAATCCTCCATCGTTTTGAACCAGAGGCTCCACATTTTCATTCTGCACTGGGCCTTACAAATCACACAGCCAGTCCTGCCCCCCGCCCCCAGGTGATGTACAGACTCAAGGTCTTGCCCTAGGTGGAACATTCAGGTGTCGTCTGGTCTTCAGTCCTTACTGCCCACCTTTAAGTGCTCACTGTCAGAGGCTGGCGACCCCCAGACGGGGTGGAACTGCAGCCTCTGTCTGAGCTGAGGCTGGAGAACTTGACAATACCTGGAGTCCCTGAGACTGGGGGAGGCTGGTGTCCCTGGGAGGCAGTGCCCCGGGAAGACGGTCTCCACAGGCAGACACCTCTCCTCCCCTTCCCAGTCTTAGGAAGTCTCCCTCTTCCTCTGGGACCATTGCATTCCTGCTGCCCCTCCCTCTATTCACCCACCTCGGGGAGCAGCTACTAACTCCCTCCCCCACAGCCCCACTGGCTTCATAATCCCTTCAGGTGCCCCTGGATGGTGTGGGATGGGAGGTGCTTAGGTTCTTACACCATCCACTTTCTCACCAAATGTTGTTTCTGCCGCACTCCCCACCCCCGCCCCAGCCCCCGTCCTCACTGCTGTACTCCTCTTCCCCGCCCCGTCCTCACTGCCGCACTCCCCACTCCCCCCCAGCCCCCGGCTGCACTGCCGCACTCCCCACCCCCAGTCTGCACTGCCACATTTTTTGGAACAGCACTCAGGATTTTCTGAGAGGACCCCCTACCACAACTTGAATCCCTGCAGTCTGGGCAGGGAAAACCCCACTGTCAAAGCCCAAGCCACCTTGTGACTCAGTCCTGGCCAGTCAGATTCTTTCATCCCACAGGCCTCACTGATTGGCTTAGGGATGGGAACATGACTCACATCAGTCCAATAGGAGTTAATTCTTTGCCACTATTGGGAAGAAAGAATCCGACTTTCTATAGGAAGGGGAGGTGGCAGGAGGTAAGCCCTGGGCTCCAGGGGCTTACTAAAGAAGATGGCAGAGTCAGAGATAGAGAAAAACCAAGTCCTGATGACAGCATTTAAGCCCCTGGATCCAGCTGTGCCTGAAGCCACCCAGGGCCTAGATCATTTCAGTTACATACAAATCATTTTTCTTAAGCCAGCTGAGTCTGGTTTTGTATCACTCACACAGAAAGAGCCCTCAGCAGTATGCTGTCTCCCAGTATGCAAAAGTTACAGCCACACAGGAGCTGAATCCACACTTGATTACCAAACACAGTGCCCAAGGCTTGGAGAAATTCCCAAAGCTGGCTGAGGGAAGGCTTTGGAATGGAGCCCATCCCTCTTGCTGACTTCTTTCTCAGGCAGTGTGTCTGGGAATCCTTCCAGAGACAGCCCTGGTGTTCCCTCACAGCACAGAAAAACCCTGTCCCTTGTGGGAGGCAGAATTCTAACATGGTGGAGAACCCCAGCCCCTGATGTGGACTCCCTGTGTAACCCCCTTCCCTGCGGTGCCGGCAGGACTGCATGAGAAAATCACTACTTAGTTGACTTGGGGTTGCTCAAAAGGGAGATGGTCTGTGTGGGCGTGGCTTAAGCAGGTGAGCTCCTAAAAGGAACTGAGCCTTTCTTGAAGTCAGAGACTGGAAGTGAGAAAGGGCCCCGGGAGGGATCATGTGGTAAGGACCTGTGAGTGATCTCTAGAAAGTGACAGCAGTCCTAGCTAACAGCTGGCCAGAAAACAGGGGCCTCAGTCCTACAGCTGCAGGGAAATGAATCCTGCCATCAACCAGAGGGAGCTTGAAAGCAGATTTTTCCCAGTTGAGACTCCAGATGAGAATGCAGCCCAACCACCACCTTGACTGCAGCCTTGTCAGGCGCTGGGCAGAGGACCGGCTAGAACGCGCCAGACTCGTGACCCATTAAAACAAATCATGAATGGGTGTTGTGGAAGCCACTAGGTTTATGATAATTTGTTACACAGCATAGAAACCAACATACCTCTCACCACCAGAACCTAGGGGAGCCTGTCGGCTGGGATCAGAGGACAGACTGGCCCACTAAACAGTGTGGTGCAGTGGTGAGCTCTCAGCTCCTACAGGCAGGCCTCCTGGGCTCCCATGCCCATCTGACTGCTTGCTAGCCTCAGTTTCCTCATTTGCAAGATGAGATCTGAAAGGGCACTTCCCTCATGGGGTGGTCAGGATGGTTCCCATGGAGCACTCAGAATAATGCCTGGCACAGGGCAAACCCCCAGTCACTGTTATTTGTTGTTGTTGATGCTGTTGTCATGGTTCTAGCAAGAATGTTTTGGCGCTCAGGGTCGAGTATGCCACACGCCTGGGTTGGATGTCACTCCTCCACTCACCAGCTGTGACCACGGGTCTCCCCTTCATCATGGTGAGCTTCAGTTTCCTCCTTGGAAAATCTGACAATGAAGGATGCATTCCCAGGGAGCTCACTGAGTGGAGTCCTGAGCACTGCATCGAGTCCTGAGCTCCCTGCCAACTAGCTCAGTCACTGAACCCAACTGGGTCTATTGCCCACATGCAGCAGAAAGCCAAACACCAAGGCACTGAGTTTTTGCAGCGAGAAGGTTTATTGTGAGTTCAATGGCAAAGAGACAGGAGGAAACACTCAAATCTGTCTCCCAGCTGAAGGCAAGGTCAGATTTTATAAGCATAGGGTAATATCTGATTGGCTCTTCCCGTCAGGTGATGCCAGGAGGTGTGATCTGATTGGATCCTGCCATTGGGTGAGGCCAGGGCTCAATCTGATTGGATCCTGGATCATGCTGTGTCCACTTCTTAATTTAGTCCCCACTTCCTGGCCCGAGCACTTAGGTTCCGTCCCTGGCTGCGTGCTTGGTGTATCTGGGCGTGCCCAGGTTGTGTGACCCTGAACCTAGAGGTCCATGGCAACTGAAAACAACTCACAACTTCGTTACATAAAAGTTGAATCAGATTGGTCTGCTGCAGTTATAGAGTTGCAGTCCCAGGACTCAATCTCAGGACTTCTGGTTCAAGGAGCTCCCTGCTCCCTGGAACATGGCTGACTAGAATGCAAGGCACCCTGGAAGCCTCAGTTCTGTAGAGAATCATGAGAGATGAGAAATGACGTTCCACAAGAAATATTGAACTTCAACCCCATGGAGCATCTGCATGGAGCATGGGACAGAAAGTTTCCATCTGGAAGTTTCATGCATTTTTGCCTTTCTTTTTTTGACACAAAGCCTCACTCTGTCACCCAAGCTGGAGTGCACTGGCATGATCTTGGCTCACTGCAACCTCTGCCTCCTGGGTTCAAGCAATTCTCCTACCTCGGCCTCCAGAATAGCTGGGACTACAGGCGCCCGCCACCATGCCCAGCTAATTTTTGTATTTTTAGTAGAGATGGGGTTCCATCATGTTAGCCAGGCTG